GAACAATAAGTGGGAAGATCGATGGTTGCCGCAGTAATGCGTGTGCACATCGTGCCTATCTTGGTTTCCCTTTTGTTCTCCAGTGTGAACATCGTACCTATCTAGGCTTCTGGCTAAACTAATAGGAAGTGGAAGGCCGATGCATAACAATAGTCCTTGTTCCCTTTGTTCCTAAATGGGTGCCTCTATTGTATCCTGGAATAGACAGGTCCGACCATATCATCCACGGGTCTGGACCATAACATGTGATGTGGACTATCACCTGATCTCTACACGTCGCGTCTGTGGCTGAGTGGCATGAGATATTGGTGAAGCACGTGATCTGTGGTGTGAGAAAAGTCATGTGCGGACTTTGTGGTGAAAGTCTGTGACAGCTTCAGTGCTTGTCTGAAATTATGCATGTTCAGTGGAACATAGAGTGCATCTCTTGCTGCTCAGAATGAATGCTCCGGCGCACTTTCTGTGACAGGCACAGGTGCACTAGGAGTGCCTTCATTAGTCTTTTCTGCCTCCGTTGAAGGTTTCTGTGGCTCGGGTGCCTTGTCTGATTGTGCTGCTTTCATTGCCATTCCTGCTGGTCACCTTGGTGGCATATGCACACCATTGAATACAGGCCTTGACCTTTTGAGGTTGTACAACTCGCACTCTAGTGCTTCGATTCTATCGTCCGCTCTAAGAGAAAATGAGCTAGCTTTGTCTGCTGAGACCTCGAATAGGTTTGCCACTGAGACTGATGCCATAACTGGTGCTTGGTTCCACCTGTGCCACTCATAGATTCGATTGCAGATAGTGATACCGGGGATATTGTGGGGGACAAAGGTTCCATTTGGTAGGATGACCTTCCCTGCTGCATTTCATATGCATTTACCACTTTTAATGTCTTCTTCGATGTGCTTGCAAGTTCCTATCATTCATCCCACTTCTCCGCAGTAGTGACAATATCTGCTCGCATTTCCGTTCACAGCTATTGGTGTTCCTACCACTGTAGCCTATGCGCTACCATTTGACTTGGCTATCCCTCCGGTTGCTGCAGCTGTGAGCATCTGTACAGACTTGACTAAGCTTTCTATCAGCAATGAGATGTCTTTGCTTTTGATGCCCATTGTTCCGGTAGCAGGAGTAGTTGACGCTGTCTTGACTGTTAACGGTCCTGCACTAGTTTCATGTAGAACGAAATTTGCTGCTTCATAAATGTCATTGACAGGGTATCGATCATCAGGATAATGATCGGGCTGCTTCAATTGTAGCCTCTGCGAGATCCTATTCCATAGTTCTGGCTGAAAACCTCGTATGAAGGCACGATTGTGTTCTGACTCGGAGATGCAGTTTTTGCTGATTAGGAACAATGTGATTGCTAGGAACTCTCAGTGACATTTCCCTAGCTCCATGATCATCTGAATTCCTAGGCAGGCCCACTCTCCTATTAAGAGGTCCATATCTCGGACTTCCCATTTCTGCTCTGTGTCCATGCCTGGGTATAGCTCCTGAATTGCTTGCTTCAAGTCTCAGTACATTTTCAAGGGATCGAGGTATTCTGGAAGTGATTCGACAAGATCGGTCACATCAATATTAAGGTACCACTTTACCCACAGCTTCTTGTCAGCCTCATTCATGATTTGACATTGATTGAAGAGTATTTTGAGGTCATCGAAGAACTGAAATAGCATTCTCGGCTGATCGGGATCAAATACTGGTGCTGATCGATCACCTCAGAATGGCATTTGGTTGGTTATTACAATGCCCATGATGGAGGTGGCTGTGTTAATAGATGGATATACAGAGGTCTGACCCTGGTCCTGGTCCCTAGCAGATTCTACTGCAAGCACGGCTTCTAGCTCATCTAGAAGTGTTTGGAGAGGAACTCCAGGTGTTGAAGATGTAGAGTGCTCTGAGAGCAGGTCAGTGATGAATGTGAGGATGGAGTAAGGGTGCTAAGGGGGAGGCACTAGGTGAGGTAGTAGAAGTGGTGATCATGATCAGGACACCAAAAGTTGTGTTTCATGTGACGGAGATGGATGGTAGTTAGCTAAATGACATCAGCCCTCTTCTGCTCACTCAAATTCTGATCTTTGGAACTCGTGTAATCGACTGAGCCACTGATTGAACAATGAAAAGACTTCTTCGTCCAATGAATCAGCTATGGTTGTGCGTCCACTTGGGTTTCAAGGGGATACTGAACTTCCTCTTCAGTTTCTGAGCATAGCGCAATCGACTCGACACAGTGAACTTTAAATCCTCCTCCACCCCTCACGGTGGGCTCCAGGAATGATATGCTGAACTGCTTCCTGGCTGCCAGCTACCTCCTATCCTGTAGAAGAAGGCAGATCAGAGCTGTCCATCTCCATTCACCTTGGCCACAGTTGCAGAAACTTCAGCTAATAACACTTGAGGGGTGGCTGCGAGTCATTTGGCATTGTGCTTGAAACTGAGCGGTGAGCGGTGATTCTGACTAGGGGAGTGTCCTCGACTCTAGATGAGTCGAGAAGAGGATGGGTTTATGTGGAATGGCTAGGAGGGCAGAGAGTGCCTCTACAGAACAGATGATCGAGGGTCGAGGATCAAGTGGTGACGTGGGTCTTCAGCTGACCAATCTTGTGGTGTGAGAACTATAGGCAGCTCTCCCCAGTGCTACGGTGTGAGGACTGTAGTCGGGCTTCCACTACAATCGTGCACTACAGTTCCGGCTTATTTGTTATTTTATTTTTGATTTTACTTATCTTACCTATTTGTTTCATTATTTATCTTCGGACTTATTTTGAGTAGTATAAAGGTCCCCTAGTTAGAAGTTTTCAGGGACTTCTTCCCTCCCCTCCATTGTGGTAGCTAGAGGCAAATTGATTGTCCCTCTCTGTGCACTGTGTGAGCATGATATCTACGCATTCCTGGCCAGGTTGAGTCTCTGTGAATAGGCCCCTCAGGATCGTCTCTGGAAGCCGTCTCAGGGCTTGTCTCGGAATGACTTCTCCACTTCTGCCTCACTTTCCGAAGCATTCTCTTTGCTTCCTGCAATACTTCTCTGCTCCCTGAAGGACCTCTTAGATTAGGCAACACATAGTAAGCCCCTCGGATGAACATGTCACACTTCGGCATCAGCCCCAGTGAAGATTACACATTTTGGAGCCCACTGCGAGGGGTTTCATCTCTGTTGCCCTGTCTTACTCCATCCATCCTTCGGGTCAACATCAAAATATATTCAAGTATGCTACAATAGGAGCTTGGGCTGAAATCTGATACAGATATGATAGCAAAAGTGTGGAGGCGCGCAATGAGCTGGGTCAAGTACAGAGTCAAAAATGCGTCGAGTTCGGGCTCAGCGGAGTTCACAATGAGTACATGCTCAGTGGAGCATGCGTCAAGAACAGGCTTAGTGGAGCCAACAATGGGTTCATGCTCAGCGGAGCATGCATCCAAAAATGCGTTGAGAATGGGCTCAGCGGAGCCCCCATTGTGAAACAGCTCAGCAAAGCCTTCAACGAGTTATGCACCGGGGTTGTGTTCAGCAGAGCACACATTGGGTTTCTGCTCAGCGGAGCATGCATCGAGAAATGCGTCAGGTTCTGCATCGAGAATGCACCCAGTGGAGCATACATTGTGAACCATCTCGGGACCAGGCTCAGCGGAGCCTGCACCAGGAACTATATCAGCTTTGCGCTCAGTGGAGTGTGCATCGAGGACTGCGATGGGTACTACCTTGGAATCAGGCTCAGCAGAGCCTGTCTTGGGAACTGCACTGGGGACTGTGTCCGGACAGACATCAATATTGGGCTCAGCGGGGCCTGTGTTGAGTTTTGTACCAGGATTGTGCTCAGCGGAGTGCGTGTCAGGGAACATGTCATCGAGTTTGGGCTCAGCAGAGCGTGTGTCAGGACAGGAGGCATCGGGGATGTGTACGAAGTGATTGGCAGCAGAGTGGCTCATGGTGCCTTTGGGAGAACAACACGAGGTGAAAGAAAAAAGGATATTCCAGGACGACGAGGTGGGGTGAGCAAGCAGTGGGGATGGACCAGAGATGCATCCCATTGGTGATGCTGAGAGTATGGCAGAAAGCACAGCGTCGAGGGTGCTACCTGATAGCATGGAGCGAGACAAGTTCTCCGAGGTGTACAATGTGCAAAGCCGAGCACAGATGGCCGGGGAGCAAGCGATAACAAATTGGCGAGGAGTGAGATGCATCATTACATGAGAGGCGAGACTGACACAGGATGCATCAAGGTGCATGACAGCAAGACCGATGCATTGCGCAGTGCTCAGGGAATCACGGACAATGATGCACCTGATGCCTGAGCAAGTAAAGCCATGGAGGACATACCTGGGATGGTCAAAAATGGGCGACCGCACCGTGACGATCTTCCTGCCCACTTGATGCCCCCAAAGACCTGACTTGACATCAGCACACAGCTGCATAAGCTCTGCAATAGCAGCTCACCGGGGTCTGGTTATGATCATTCACGTCATCTACAAATGCCTTATCCAAGCAGAACCTGGGCTGTGTGTTCTGGCAGTGACATTCTTGGACATTCCAGCACCCCCAAAGTCAGGAAGCAGGTGGAGAGCAATGGAGCTGGGCAGATAGATGATGAGGAGATGGACAGGTCAGGTTGTGTTGAGCCAACAGAGGAGGCAGGTGAGGAGAACATGATTAATGATCTTAGCGAAGAAAATGAGTGCGACTTACCAGGAACAAATTGTCAACATGCCTTGCTGTCCGGGCCTCAACCCTTCAAATGTGTTTCGATGACACCTGCAGCCATGCACGCTCCTGGGCGAACCTCCAATTCTGCTGCCATGAATGAGGTGAGAACGCTAGAAGAGACAAAGGCACGACTTACCAGTGATGGAGAGATTGTGGCTAGCACAATGGGTGGCAAACCTGTGTGAACGCTTAGTGAGTTCAACCCACAGGAGTGGCTTACCACGTATGACATGCATGCAGAGCCCGAAATGAGCGACAACAGCCATGAAGCAGGTGGCAATGTTCGAGGAGAGTGGGTGGACATGGTGGCGTGTTGGGCAGCATGTGAGGTCAGTGGTGTCGAGGCACGGATGGTGGTGATGGATGAAGGGAATGCAATCAGCGACTCTGGACACCAAGACGAGAACAACTCATTGCAGATAACCCATATACACCCATCATCTTCCCATGCGTGACCCTCCAGCTATGATCCAGTGATTTCTGCAGCTGCATGTGCTCCTATGCAGACCTCCAATACTGTTGCGAAGGGGAGTACCCTGTCTGGGACAATGCAAGGTGACCTGAGGCTGCAGTTTTTTGATGTCGAGTCAACAGAGTTCGGTACTGCGTACAGTGTGCGCGCGAAGTTTCAAGCGAGTGATGGTGTTCAGGAGACCACTGGTGACGTTTGAGGAAAACAGGCACATGGGGTGAGCAGTGTCGCAATGGCAGAGGAGGCAGGCGATGAGGAGAAAGCAATCAATGAGATTCAAGAACAAAATGGGCGTGGCTCACCATGAACGAATCATCAACACCCATCATCACCCAACGCGGGACCCTCCTATAGCAATCTAGCAACTCAGGTGGCTGAATGTACTCCCAAGTGACCCTCAAATCCTGCTGTGATGAATGAGATGGGAACGTGGGGTGAGGCAAGGGAGGTGCTTACCTGGCACTGGGACGTCATTGCTGGAACAATGACTGGTGATCCTGGGCGAACGTTTGGTGAGATAAATGTGAAAGAACTTCTTACCGTGCACAGCACGTGTGCAGAATTGAGTACGAGTGACAGTAACTGGAATGCTGCCATCCATGATCGAGGCATGCAGATTGACATCACAGTGAGCATTCGTGAGGTGGGCAGCATCAAGGTGTGATGGGTGACGAGCAAGGAGGAGGAGGCCAGCAGTGTGCATCGGACCATGCGCAGAGGTGAACGTGGAGTGATACGTGATATGGGACACCAAACAGTGGCAGCGCAGGCACATTGCACATGTACCAAGGTGGCAACCATAGCTAGATGCAATGAGCGTAGCATCAGTTCACATGGGCTGCATCAGGCACAGTGTTTCCTGGAAAACAAGATCGAGTGTGACTCACCGTGTATGACTCAATGACACCCTTTGCTTTCCCATGCGAAATTCTCCTGCTGCAATTCAGTGACTTGTGTGGGCAAGCGCGTCACTGAGAGGCTCTTGAATACTGCAGCCATGACTGAGACAAGAACATGGGCAGAGGTGGAGGAGTGACTTACCGAGCTGTCAAGGTGTAGTAGCTGGGATGGCAGTCTGTGATCCAGCACGAATACTTAATGAGAGCAACCTGGAGGAGCAACTTACCATGCACAGCATGTGCGCAGAGTTTGAAATGAGGAACAGTATCAGAGAGGTGGCCATCAATGTTCATGGAAGGCAAATGAACAACACAGCATGTGGAGAGGCGCACGAGGTGGGTAGCATCGTGCTGACAGAGGAGGCAGGCAAGGAAAGTGGGCGCGGCTCACAGCGAATGATTTGAGGACACCCCTCATCTCCCCATGCTAAATCATGCTGTTATGGTCTAGCGACATGTGTGGTGGCATGCACCCCTGAGGATTCTTGTAATACTGATGCCATGAATGAGACGGGAACATGGGAAGAGGCGAGGGCGTGACTAACCCGCAACTGAAGCATCGAGGCTATGACAATGACCAGCAACGTTCGAGGAGAGTGCGTACATGACACAACGAGTGAGGTGACTTGTGAGGCAGGTAGCATTGAGCCGGCAGAGAAGACGAGCAATCAGCATGATGCACTTGACAATCCTGGAGACAAGAACGGGTGTTACTTACTGCAAATGGCTCAAAAGGACCCTTCATCTTCCAACACACAGCCCTCATATAATGTTCCAACTGCATTTGCAGCTGCGCGCGCCCATGGATGACACCCTGATACTATAGTCAAGGAGAAGACATGACCACATGGAGAGAAACTATAGCTACTTACCTGTGAAAACATGTCAGCTGGGCTCCCAGCATGTGCACGCCATTCAAATGGATCTGAGGATGAATTAGCAGCACAGTCGGATGTTGAAGTATGCACAGGCATGTGCGAGACCGGTGATATCAATAAAATGGCCAACGCAGGGAGTGCAGATGCAGTGAGCAGTATGTGCAAAGTGGTACATGAAGGCGAATGATGATTGAGAGTGGGAGAGATCCCTTGAGTGCACACTGATGTGACAGAGGGTGACATGGGGAATGTGGTTTGCGAGGTCAAGTTTGAGGAAATGCTCACGGTGTACAGCATGTTTGCAGAACTCCAGACAATCAGTAGCAGCCATGAGGCAGCCAGCAATGTTTGAGGCAAGTGGATTGACAGCGCAATGTGTATAGAGGGGCTCAGGATTGGTAGCATGGAGGGATGAGTGAGAGCGAGCAAGAAGGACGATACAATCAGCGAATGTCAAGGCAGGAATGGACGTGGCTCACCGAGAATGATGCAAGCAGATCTCTGCTCACCCAACACACGTCCCTCCAGCCCTAGTCCAGCACTGTCTGCAGCTGCATGCACTCCCGACCGAACTGCCAATACTGTTACCGAGGAAAGTGAGTAACAAGATGAAGAAGAATTCGCACAACTTACCTTCAATGAGGCATGAAGAGCCAAGGAAAGCAGTGCTGCCCAGCTTCCAGCATGCAGCTGCTGTCAAAGCCAGGACCGTTTGGTGATGCAGATGGGTGACAAGAAAATGAGAAGGGATGAGACAGTGCGGGGTATGGGCGGCACATTACGCAAAGCTTAACATGGAGGAAGGGCAGAGAACGTTGCTCGAGCACACGCTGACACGTCAGATGTTCTTCAGGTGTGGGCTGACATGGGGAATGCTCAGTGGGCATCTTGCGATGCATTGGATGAGAGGTGTGCACTAGTGACTGATTCTTGGGATGATGTGGCTCTCCCTTTCTCGGAGCAGTCTCCAGTCTTGGAGAATGAGCTCATTGCTGATCATGCAAAGTCTGGCTCGTCATCGGCTGCATCTGAAGGCTACGACTCTGCCGGTACCACATCTCAGGCCTTCCTGCCGACTGGTCTTTGTGACGGGTCACTAAGTGTTTCTTTTGTTCTGAGGACTCCGGGGTGCGATTCTGACACCCACATCTTGACTTCGAGATTACTGTGCAGTGATGGCATGGAAGTGGAAGGTGACCATGGGCAGCGGCTTTGTGGGATCGAGCCTGGGGAGGTCTTTTCTATAAACAGCATAAGTGTAGAGTTTCTGTCAGGTGAGGGTAAGTGGGGCATGGCTGGTGACATTCAAGGAGAGCAGATGAATGCGATGATGTGTTGGGCAGCAAAAGAGGTCAGTGATATCGAGGTGCAAGCAGCGGCGAGTAATGAAAAGGACATGATCAGTAAACTCAGATGCAAACACAGGATCAGCTCACCTCAAATGTCTTGAAGCGAACCCTCAGCTCTCAATCCAGTGATGCATGTGGCCGCGGACACTCCCGAGTGATGCACCAGTATTCTAGACAAGGAAAATCAGCAATCAGAGGGAGAAGAACAGGCCCGGCTTACCTGCAGCACGGACCGAGATGTGACACGAGTGCAGGCTGAAGGTGACATTGTCGAGGGTCCAGCATGCAGCCATGGTCAAGAATGATCCAAGGACAATTCGCCAGGGCAGACAGATGATGAGGGGTGCAAATAGATGCATGAGATTGGTGCCATCGAGGCGCAGATGAAGTTGACAAGAGAAGAGGTGGTGAGCAGTGGGTGTGGCACGGTACACAAAGATGGACATGAGGCAAGTGCAGAGGACGTTGCTGAAGCATGCGCTGACACAGCGAATGCTCCTCAGGTGTGCGCTGATATGGTGAATGTGCATTGGGTGCCTTGCGATGCACTGGAAGAGGCGGACGCGGCACAAACCCTTCTGTTGACTGATTCTTGGGACGACTCGGCTCTCCCTTACTCGGAGTGTTCTCTGGTCTCACAAGGTGATCCTGCTGCTCATGTCATAATGTCTGGTGCACCATCAACTATCTCTGGAGGCTGTAACTCTGACAGTATCGAACCTCGGACTCAGGACACCTCACGGGCACATGGTGTTTTTCTGCATCGCACGGCTAAGGACAGTGATTTGCAAGACTTAGCAGGCTTGAACAGTGTGAAATTGGATGCATGAGGAGAGAGTATGGTGCTACCCATCAAGCTGGTGACACTGGGCCTGAAGCTAGGAGCTTGCAAGACCATGCATGAGGACTGCAGACTGGCTGAGCTGATGGCAGTCCGAGGAGCCTGCGACAATGAAGGGAACTTCTCAGGTAGTATACGGAATGAGCTCGGTGTGATGAAGAATGAGTTCGAAGGGCTTATCTCATGCATAGGTGACCTCGAGGAGTCACTCCATGGGTGCATGGTGGTGCAAAAGGTGCACAATATTCAGGTGGCAAAAACACCTGTCCATGACAGAAAGCTATGGCGTATGGTGGAGGTCCTCGAGGTCCAGGCTTAGCGATTTGGGCAGCATCTCGAGGTGGCTATGTGCGCACTCTCAGATCATGTCTTCACAATGGAGGAGTTCTATAAGAGGCTCAGGGAGCATATAGACTGTCTCGAGCATGCAGCTGCTAAGGCTAGCCAAGCGGTGGAGTCACGATATATCGCATTTGGTCAGGCAGTGGACTCATAGCTGGTGCAATCCATGGGCAGACTTACCATTCAATGGGATACTGTCGACGGTGCAAAGCAGCAGCTTGGGGTCCTCGGGCATCACCTCCTGGTGGTGCGTGGTGCGAATCTGGATGAGTTCAAACAGGGATGCCATCATCAGATGACAGGTCGACGCGGAGTGGCTCGCCATTAAGTATGCCCTCAACTGGGAGCTGGAATGGGCGGTGTTCGCGGTGAGGGGGACAGAACTGGGGCTCACACAGAAGGAGATTGTCAAAGCGAGAACCTGAATCAGCGATGATTATGCCTACCTTTCAAGCACAGAAGCATCTCAGGTCGAGCGTATCCTCTCAGGATGACATCTTGGCATTGGTGAATCAGGATGGGAGTCGGCCAGCATCGCCAGGTGGAGCACGATGCATGGGTCCAGGGGACATTTGTGGGCATGATGAACCTTCTGTAGGATCCCCTTCTGACTTGGAGATGCAGGAGCATTAGGAGGTGCTCATTTTTGCAGCGGAGAAAGATGTTCCGACATGGGAGGCAATGCTTGCCTACACTGGCCATGCTGAATGTGTGCACCTGGGTCGCAGCTGTGATGATGACACTTGTGCACGACTCAAGGCAGAGACGCAACAGGCCTTATCTCATTGGCTATTACAGCAGACCTCCTGGCTCCCTCAAACCCTTCAGGACCTCCGAAATGAGTTGCTCTGCAGTGGACGTCTTCGAGACGTTCTGTAAGCTTCTTTATAAATACTCTGGTTGTGTTGTGGATGTGGGGCGTTGACCAGGAATGGTCAACATCTTGTGTTGTGGGGAGATGTGAGGACTGTAGTCGGGCTGCCACTACAATCCTGCACTACAGTTCCAACTTATTTGTTATTTTATTTTCGATTTTACTTATCTTGCCTATTTGTTTTCTTATTTATCTTCGGACTTATTCGGGTAGTATAAAGGTCCCCTAGTTAGAAGTTTTCAGGGACTTCTTCCCTCCCCTCCATTGTGGTAGCTAGAGGCAAATTGATTGTCCCTCTCTGTGCACTGTGTGAGCATGATATCTATGCATTCCTGGCCAGGTTGAGTCTCTGTGAATAGGCCCCTCAGGATTATCTCCAGAAGCCATCTCGGGGCTTGTCTCGGAACGACTTCTCCACTTCTGCCTCGCTTTCTGAAGCATTCCCTTTGCTTCCTGCCATACTTCTCTGCTCCCTGAAGGACCTCTTAGATTAGGCAACACATTGTAAACCCCTAGGATGAACATATCGCACTTCGGCACCAGCCCTGGTGAAGATCACACAACGGAGGGGGGTTGGGTGCTCCCTAGGTCTCTGGGCATCTATACAGAGCTCTCTAGTGCTACGGAGGGGGGTTGGGCCTCCCTGAGGCTACAGACTCCGATGGGGATGGAGATCTGAGTTGCTAGGGCTCATGACAGATGGTGTGAGAAAGAAAATGAGGTGGCGTGAGAGGAAAATGTGATAATGTGACTTTACTGAGTGCTTCTCGAGTTGAGCTATGGGCCACTATGAGGAGTGCTACCCCACGCAGTGTCGAGAGCTAACCAGACATGGTATCGAGATGTAGACGAGTGATACTAGATAGGACGTGCTGCCCTATTGAGACGATGTGCATAGAACTGGATTCTGAAGGGTGAACTCTCTTGTTGTTTAGTGGTAGGTACATTGGTCATTATATAGGCGTAGAATAGTGCCTTCTAATGTAGTGAAGACATTTCCGATCCTTGCTCGCATTTCTGATCCTCTGAAACAGTCTCAAAACATTCTCCACCTCTTCCCTATCATCACTCGCAGTCAGAAAACTGGAAGGTAGGGGCCCTCCAGGGTCTGGTGGTCTGCTACCCTGTACTTCTCTTGCTTAGAATGAATCTTTGTGCCAATTTGGCCCAATTCATCCTGCTCCATCTCTTCTTTTTGTCCTCATAATTGGTGATGCTAATATGCAGGTCCTAGCTCAATTCAGAGCCTCATGTATGACCCTTTTACAATATGAGGTTGCTGCCTTGAGTTCTTCTGAGTCAGGGGCCCTCGTGGTGGTCCATCCGGACTGTTCCGCTTGACAGATATGCATTATCGAGTCATGCAGCCCTCGGCTGCTCTTCCAGAAGGGTTTGTGAGTGCAGAACATTTCGGTGCGTATCAGTGCGACTGACAGATCAAAAAAATGGTTTTTCAATCGATTCAGGTCTATCATGCTAAACGATCATGAGAACAGGTTTTTGCAACCAAAGCTCGAGCTCTATGGTCTATACCGTGCTTTGCGAGCACTAAAGGTCTATCTGATTGGTGTTCACAACCTAATCATCGAAGTCGATGCCAAGTATATCAAAGGCATGTTGCAGAACTCAGACATCGTGCCAAGTGCAAGCATCAACCATTGGGTCATCGCAATCCTCATGTACCATTTCTGACTAGTCCACATAACAGGAGTCATGCAGGACCCAGACAGATTATCACGCTGACCGAGACAGCCAGGTGATTCACCACCAGAGCTGGTCGAGGACACAAACTTCGATGACTGGGTGAATCGCATGAACAGATTTATGCACCAGGTACTTCCCTGAGTGCAGATCTCAAGTAACCTGCCATCGACCGAGAACGATCAATTTTTCAGAACGGAGGAGGAGCTAGCCATGCAATCAGTTTTTGTGCTTCTGACTCAAAGTAATGACAAATTGGAAACCATGTGAGATATTCAGGACCCAAAGGCAGTCAGCTACAAGGATGTTCCATGATCTGCACGAGCCAGATGGAATGACCATCTCATCGCTCTAATCACCAACTGGCTAGAAATGTTGCAGCGATCAGAAGATTACTCGGACAAAGAATATGATCGAATGCTCAAGTATGTGGTCCACTTCTTCAAGCGAGATGGACGTCTCTGGAGGAAGGATGGACAGGGATCACATAAGCTAGTCATTGTATCAGAAAACTGACTACGAGTTCTCGCTGGAGCACATGATGAGCTAGGACACCGAGGCATCTTTTCGACTCGGTCATTGATTCATGAATGCTTTTGGTGGCCTGACATCATGGCTGACATCGCTTGGTTCATAAAGACTTGCATTATATGTCAGAAGTGACAGATCTGCCAGATTCTCATACCGCTGACTGTTGCGATTCCAGCACCAATATTTGCGAAGATATACATCGACACAATGCATATGCCACCCTCAAATGGATTTAAGTACATCGTGCAGGATCAATGTTCACTGAGCCACTACCCTGAGTTCTGCATGCTTTGAGCTGAAACTGCAAAGATCCTCGGCGATTGGATTTTCGAAGATATACTCTGTCACTGGGGGGCCCTATCAGAATCATTACCGACAACGGCACACCATTCATAAAAGCAACAGCCTATCTGGAGAAGAAATATCATGTCAAGCACATCTGGATAAGCGGCTACAACTTCCATGCAAATGGAATAGTTGAGCGACCACATTTCGATGTTCGGCAAGGTCTATTCAAGGCTGCCGATGAGGAGGAGCGCAAGTGGAGTCAAGTCGCACATTCAGTTTTCTGGTCGGAAAGAGTCACAGTTAGAAGACACATCGGTTGTTCACCCTATTTCACCATCATGGGCACTCATCCGATCTTGCCGCTGAACATAGTTGAGGCAACATATTTGATTCTAGCACCAGTCAGGATGGTGACAACGACTGACCTGATCACAAGTCAAGCAGAAGCACTACAAAAGTGCCGAGAACAAGTCGCAAGGATCCACAACGCAGTCTACAAGGCCAGGAGAGAAGCAGTGAGGCGATTTGAGTGAGTCCACAAGAATGCGATCAAGGATTTTGATTTCAAGCGTGGAGACCTAGTCTTGGTTCGGCATATGCAGATCGAGAAAGCACTCAATCAGAAAATGAGACCACACTATATTAGACCATATATTGTGCTGTTCTGCAATCAGGGAGGAGTGTATATGCTCTGTGAGTTGGATGGAGCAGTATTGGACCAACCAATCACAGCATTCAGGGTGATACCATTTGCTGCAAGGAAGAAGATTGCAATCGCGGAAGAAATGTTGGACGCATTGGAAAACAGGTTGAAAGAAATGCATCAGTCAGATGATCAGGAGGAAGAGCAAGGAGGTGAGGAGGGAGAAGGAGAAGCCGAAGGACAACAGGATATGGAAGATGAAGATGAGTCAGAATAAACAAGTACAGGCATTCAAACTAATCATTTGATCATGTATAAGTGAAGAACCAGTCAAGGACTCGAACAAGACAACACTATTCTGTGACACCTCTCATAATATTTCATTCAGGATAGCTTGCGCAAGGTTTTCAGCACACAGTTTATTTAAGACATCTAACTAATACATTTGTCCCACGCGTGCAGCAGGAGAAAGCATGCTAGATATGCAATGAGAAAACATACGTGGACAGCCTGCTTTGCACCAATCCAGACTCATCGCACATCCACCATCCTCATGGCTTAGCAGCCCTCAAGGCTTGATTCTCCTTGAGAAGCTGCTGTGACAGTACAATCATTCGCTCCAGTTGCATACTGGTCACAGAAGGCTCAAGGGCAGCTGGCAGAGCAATAGCCAGCTCAGGCTTCACGGGCGCTGCAGGGGAGGAGCCTTTGACATGAGCCTTGCCCTTCGACGAGTGTGGCTTGAGCATCTTGGTCGAAGGAAAAATGATGGTGCTGGTGTGAAAATGCTGCATCATAACATTGGCCGAGTCACCCATAGTCAAGCTGAGAGAGCCAGGTAGAGGGAGAGGCAAGTTACATGCCATCATAGAAAAATTTGAACTGGTCAGGCTCGGGCATGCAAACGCGTGGTTAAAACCTCGCAGTATCATCCTCTACCATGTTGCAGAGCCTGTCGGCTTTCTCAAGATGCCAGTTCAAGTGACTCGAACAGAACTTCTTATGCGGGACTGAAACGAGCCAACTTCGATTGAGGCTACCGAGACAATGGATTTACAGCACGAAGGCAGAGACGAACACAGTCGGACTATGGTACATGAGAAGGCAAATACACAAGGGACAAGGCAAGATGGTTCTAGACTACGTGGCATTCCCCTCCAGCCAATGAAGGCCTGAATGAAGTTAAGGCGCTCACTAATGCAGACCACCTCAACCACCAGTCACGCATGCTTCTGCATATAGATTTGCACCAATAGAGCATTGGGCACAGTCAAGCCATGAACCTTGCTAAGGAGCTGCTTGATCTCTTCGAGCAATTTGATAGCTGTGATTGAAAATTGTGAGGAGTCAGTCGGCAAGGGCTTCCGGCTAAGCAACAAGAAGCTTACTCGTGGGAGCTTGAACCAAGGAACACTTGAAGTGTGACATGCAGCAGTGAATGCAGGACTGTCCACCACAATCAGAAGGCATAATCATGCAGTCTTCATCAACCAAGCACTTTGAGCACTGCAGATCAAGGAGTAAGCGACAAGTCGCATAAGAAAGAGATCGCGTGCACCTTGGTATATGGCCATGGCTTGCCAAAGCTCAAGAACACAACCTGCATGTGCTTCAGAAGAGCCTGGAGAATGATGTAATAATTGCACAGCATTTCCGACTCAGGACTCTTGGTGGCAATCACAGATGATGCCATGCTAATAACGGACGTGGACTGCAACAGCACCCTCGGAGTCATCACAACAATTCATGTTCATGTTTGACAGAGTCTCGCAGAATCTCTGCCATGATGAGGGAAGCAGCAGAAGGAGGAGAAACACATTGCTTATTATAGTCTGTCCATCAGCAGTGAATCGGAAGGGTCTGCCCAAGAAGTGTACAGTCACACCGATCAACAAAGACGTCATTTGTGATGTACACCATTAGGAAGTGATCACAAACACGGGGGCGACCTTCAGGAAGCTTGGCAAAATTGCCACGATCTGCAGCCTCAATAAGCTCTTGCATGATCTCCACCATCGCGTCAAAGAGCGAATTGGATTGGCGGTCATGTAAGCAGCTGAATAACTGATCAGGGAAGAACAAACGACTGCTGGCATCCAGTCGAAGTCCAGGCTCGCGCTCAGCACAAGCCAGTCATAAACTGAATTGACCTCATGACACAGACATGCTGTGAGATGGCCAGCACAGCTGCCCTCACTATAAATAAAAGTCCCAAATGTATGGCAGCAAGGTCAGAACAGGACAATCACATTCAATCGAGTCTGGGGCAGAACAGGTACATCGGAACAGGAGTACAGATGGTCTACATGAACGATGTACTACGAGCCTCAGCATGTGATCTTAAAACTGACCGTCATCTCCAGCAAAGTCCTCTGAGTGCAGCATGTGGTCTGGATCGTTGTCCTGCAACTCGAGAGCAGGAGCATGGATGGCAAGCGAAGGTTGCCCAGTACAGGACGAAGTGGGTATTACTGCTCCGGACGGGGGGACGTTGGGATGAAACACGTCATTTAGCGACTGAGGAGGCAATGACAGGAGCTGATCCAAGAGGGCTGATACTGACTGGTGGTCATGCGACAAGGGCGAAGTGATAAGGGCACGGAGCTCACTGACCCACCCAAAGGTACCAGTCGGAGGCACTTGCATTCTGGACCATGCCAACTCCAAGTGGGCAGTGTCAGCAAGTTTCTGCACAGAGAAGTTAACATGAGTACTCGAGAAGGAAGGAGTGGAATACTTACTAGGAGGGATAGGACTCTGCGGCGCCACTCATTCCACTCAACCACAGCAGGACACGATCTGGTCAGGACATGTACATGCTCAACGGACGGGGCTTCGAGGAAAAGAAGGAACTGATGGATCTGCAAGGTATAGGCTGATCCAGGTTCATCAGGAGTGGTGTTCAATGTGCATGACATGGTGGATGGGGAGAGGGGTGAGAGGATGCAAGTACTGAGAAAATGGGAAGACAGGTGGTGGGGCTGGTGGACATGTTCAAGGACCGTGATTGTGGACTGAACAAGGAATCGATGGGAGACTGTGTCTGAGGCAAAGCAGGGGGAACCCGGCATGTGGGCATGGGCCAAGAACAAGCTATCAACCATTGGGGCAGCGTGGATGGGGTGTCCGAAGAGCAGACAGGGTATCTTCAGAACAGAAACAGGGGAATTTCTGCGATATGGAACGAGACACGATGGGGTGGTCCACAGTGGCAGGCCCTTGAAGGAATTTGAAATGAGACAAGAGAGATGAGGGAATGAGTTACAGGACCAAGTGTGGTCCGATGTGCGATCGAGTTTCAGGCGAACGCACCCCGAGGGCATAGTATAAAAAGGTAGTGTAGTTAGGTAGCTGGGAGAAAGAACCTCGGATGGCATATCTATGAGCTAGAGTATGTGAAGAGGCTTGCACAGTGGTGCACAGAGACAGTGGTCTCCCTCTCCTCCACAACCTACTGCTTCTACTTCACGATCTAATCAGAATCTTTGCTCTCACTGTCGAACGCGCTTGACCGACCACCAGGACATTGCCACTGAGACGGTATGCCTGCCTCCTGAGACTCCTGTACTCCATCTGGAAGTCATTAGACTCACCTCGGAACTGTTCTATCATGCGTATCTCGCATATATCACCCTGGCCCATACACTTTACATGGCTGCTGGTCTATTGGCTGCATTGTTGATTCACTTCTTCACCATATTTTACATTTGGCTCTTGCATCGCCTTTAGATGCAGACCTTCCCCGCACTGTTCCCCCTTTACCCCACTCAGTTATTTGCTGTCCTTTCACAGCTAGCCAAGTACTCGCAATCACAATGCAGCACAGTCCTGATAGTCGAGAGTCAAGCAGAACTGAACGTCGCAACATCAACTGCTATAAGGAAGAGCGTGACGTGGAGTACTCACCTCATAAGCGGAAAATGATGTGGCCCAGCTCTGCCAGGCCCACTCAGGAGCATCAGAAGTGGGTGACATGAGCACCAGGTTATTCAGTCACTGAAGCAGTAGAATGCACAGACTGTCATCAGGGTAAACATCACGAGCGCAAGCGGCAAGACTGAAGATACTGTTGATGTGGAACATAGTGGCGAGGGACTAAAGAGCATGAAGATGGGTCACCCTATGTAAATACATGTGCACGATGGACCAGGAACAGTCCAGATTCCAGAGTGGGGGAGGTGATAAGCACCGAGATATTCTGCGATCAGAAAATGCCAGCGAAAGCATCTGCCTATCACACTATCAGATAGTGAGTTGCCACAATTCGGGAGCCTCCACCTTAGAGCCGGAACAGTCCAGAGTGGGCAAAGGAAGGCTTTGACAACTGCCTGGGAATGAGAACTGAGTGAAGAGGTCAGAAGGTGAACATGAGGTGCAAAAATGATGAGCAGGCCACTGAGAAGCCTAGCCTATTATGAGATGCAGCACGAGAGCAGAATGTGACCAGTTAGGCAACTCGGAAATGAGCCAGTATGCTAACTGAATAGAAGACAGGGTAGCAGACTGAGGGACCCTGGCAGGGCCGGACTTCCCCTTCCCTGACTGCAAAGTACGGAGAGGGAGCAGGAGTGAATGATGCAACATGTTTCACTAGATCGGAAACACCTTCTACAATCGGAAATGTGTTTCAGCAACCTAGATGGCTCATTTCTGACTTACTATATAATTTACAATGTACCTACAACCTATAACAGAGTTTTCCTCACCCAGTAGCACTCAGTTCTCGTTTCATCTATGCTAGGGCATCGTGCTCGACCATGTCTACATCAATTGTGACTACATTCTACATCTCTGAGATTCTCGACACTGAGAGAGGCAGCACTCTCAGCAGTGACCTCTAGCTCGACTCGGGTTTCAGCCAGCTAAGTCATGTTATCGCATTCTCATATCTCACATCATCACATTTCACTCGCACGTCACCAGTCACAAGTCTCAAACCAGGATTCTGTCCCCATCAGACCCTGTAGCCGTGCTAGTGCCCAGGAGTTCATTGTCAGCACTCATTCCAACCAGAAGCACCCAGGGCTTCATTGTTGGTGCTTATCCCAGTTTGGAGGCTATTAGGGCCTCATCGTCGGTGCTTATCCCAGTTTGGAGGCTGTTAGAGCCTCGTCGTCGGTGCTTGACCCAGTTTTTGAGATGTCCAGGGCTTCGTCGTCGGCGCTTGATCTAGTTCAGAGGCTATTAGGGTTTCATTGTCGGCACTTGACCAGCACTTTCCAGATATAGCAAGTTCTCATATCTCAGCCCAGGCCTTCAGCCACCACAGTTCACGAGCACAGGAGTCGCCGATTGCATACCACACACACACGTCACCACACTCCAGCTTTTGACTGTTTCTCAGTCGATGGTGTCCCCATAGTTGAATCTGACACTCACTGATCACGAGTTTGCAAATCGACCCGTTTCAAGCACATACAGCTGAACGACTCACGGCCGCCCATCACTGCATTATCATCTGAAGTTTCCTGTGACCGTAGCTCAAAGGGACCGTGGACAGACAAGCCCTAGTTCACCTTCCACCAGTAGGGGTTGGTTAGGAGTGCTGCTCATGGCCAGGACACAGTTGAGCATATCAGCACTCCTCTCACTCCTTCATGAACAAGGAACAGGAATGGCAAGCATACGTTAGTTGCATGAGATCAGTCATCAACTCCAATGTGTCCAGGCCCTGATTCCAGAAGCCTCTCACTTCATGTTAAGAAACATCACGCACACAGCATGAACGTCTTGTATAGCATGAAAGATCGTGGTGATAATGCCTCCCAGGTGCGAGTGGGGAAACGTTGTGAGTGAGCGATTGAAGCATTGAAGGAGTGGCACCTCAGAACTGCAAGGACAACTTATGCGCAGATGCCGATTAGTGATGATGGCTTGCTCACTGATGATATGGTCAGCATTCTCACCTACGATGCACGTCTGAAGACAGTAGAGGATATCCAGGGTCATTTGATTGAGCCTCCTTGGATTTTCATTCAGCATCATGGGGAAGAGGTTCTTGCTCTTCTGCGAAGGATCGATGAGAACATGGATCATTGCAAAACAACTGCAAATTGCCATCTTCATGATGAGAATCGCCCCCCCCTCTCCTGCTCATTCCAGGCAGCATGTGATGCTGTCACAGATTTTCAACACAAAGTTCGCACGCGACTTTTCTCATGCCACAGATCACGTGCTTCACCAATATCTCACACCACTCAGCCACAGACGTAACACGTAGAGATCAGGTGATAGTTCACATCACATGTTATGGTTCAGACCCATGGATGATACGGTCAGACCTGTCTATTCCAGGATACAATAGAGGCACCCATTTGAGAACAAAGGGAACAAGGACTATTGTTCGGGATCATCTAGGCAATCAGCTCAAGGTATAGCCATTACCACAATAGGATGGATCATCTCACCGTTGCCACGGAAGAACATCGATCTTCTCACCTATTGTTCTACTTACAGATAGATCTTCCCACTTATTGTTCCATGTATAGTTTAGTTGCCTAGATATGTAGATAGCCAATCATCTATTTTGTAGTAGTGGTACGATGAAGGTTATATAATCAGGCTCCTGTACACGTATATAAAGACAGCATATAGAGGATGAAACTTCAGATTGTTTCTCCTCGTCTACCACTGTAGCACCTTACTGAGCCTACCAGCTCCTTCATATATCTCTCACCCTTCCCACCGGTTGCATCACCAACAAGTAAGTCTTGGGCTCTTGTGCCACATAAGGGTTCAGGGGGATCACAGGGATCAGGGGGATCGGGACAGCACATTCCACATGACCGTTCCTTTTTTAGTCTCTTTGCTCTCTTGTCCAGCAGTGCTGCGACATTAGAAACAATCTGACAATTTTCTGCACTCCTGCTTAGTGTCTAACACAAGTGGCTGCATATTTTCAGCACAAGCAGTCTCAGCCGTAGCACGTGGCTTTTTTGACACCATTCCAATCCAATCTCTACCCGGCGTGAGCCTCAGCAAGACTCTGAGCTGCCCAAAGCTTTGAAGTGCAAGGCCACACCCAGGATTGACCTCGACACCCACTACAAGCATCAAGAAATCAACAAGGAGCACAGAAGGCTCCTCACCCTTGCATCACTAGGTGCCTCATCCACAGACAGACAGCGCATAGCAGCTCGGGTCATCGATACTACGCACATCATAAAGCGCAGAATCATCCACAAACCTCGTGATCACACCCCACTGCTCGAATGCTACAAGCCTAGATGAGGATGCCTCACCACTGGTAGTCACAAGCTGGCACAATCTGCAGAGCTCATTACATCCAACGCAGTTCCCCCCCCCCCAATCATTGCTCCTATCCCAGTTCGGCCGCTACTGAACTTCATTAAGACCAACATCGTTGCCCGTCCCATTCACCTGCTCTCATCCAGAGTCAGGCCCACGATACACATCGAGATGCTCACCAAGCAGGTAGATGCTACCCGCTTTAGGCTCCAGCTCATATTAGGAGCATTCTCGTATCATCTTAAGGATGAGCATCAGGGACCTATTTACAGCCTCGCCACAGAACTTGACAAGGTCTGCGTCAACCTACACACAGGAATGTGCACCTACACATTCATTAAGAAACAGGTCATCAACACAGTCTGCCTAGAAATAGGAGGGATTAGTTTCAAGCAGATAGGGAAGAAGGAAAGGCTGCAGGAGATCGCCAAGGCTCTGGTTTTCATCGCAAAGAAGCGATATTTGAACTTTTTGTACTAGTCTATGTACATACCTTACAATGGAGGGAGCCGATCATGCATACGCATCCACATTCAGACAAAGAATGGAGGACATACTCCACCCCAACATTGAAGTGGCACATGATGGAAGTACCCCACGTGCCTCACAATGCAATTCACCTGAGCCTGGGCTAGGACCCCAGGACTCTGCATCCCAAGTCAGAGGACCC